CCCCCCACCCCCCCCCCACCCCGTTTGCATCAGGTTCGTGAGATCAAATACTTAAATGTTAGTTAAATTCGATAAACCAGTTGCTACAATGGCACCTGTGAGGAGGTTTCTCTGTAAAGTCGGTGCTTATGCAGCAGAGGCGTAGTGAGGGAGGTGGGGGCAGGGGGGACAGATGTCCCCGGGCGCCAGCTAGTTAGGGTCGCCAAAATGAGCTTTGATATTATTTTATTGATGACAATAACGGGTTTGATGGTTAAAAAAAGAAAATGTAGGGGGGGGGGACTTTTAAAGATGAATCTTGTCCCCGGGTGCGAATCCCCTGGCGCCAAACACTCTAGCTACGCCTCTGCTAGGCAGCCACCCAAAATGGAAATCACAAATTTATATAGCTTTTTTTTAAAATTATGTTTCATATACTATGATCTAGTCGTGTGTATATGTTTTACTACTCTTAGTTAAGTCATAATCCAATGAAATAATAAAATAACTTTCCGTTTATCGTTTTTTAATACTTTATAAATTGAAATGGTTGTTAAATTATCGAATCCCATCACCAACTTTAGAGAATGCAACCTGTGGAAATATCGGAAAGACTTTTGCAAACATTTTTTTTTCAAAATTTTTTTTTGTTTCTTTTATGTGGTTAAGCTTCCCCATTCCCCTAAGTGATATTTTATGTTAATCAAAACTCGTTGTGTTTGTCTTATGACCTTCACCCTGCTTCTCCCGTCTCGTATTCGCAGTCAAGGCCGTATCAACACCTGCAGATTGCTGCTGAGCTGTCCCAACGGATCCATCATGAAAAATGAAGCAGACGGGGCCGGTATGACCGCCCTGCACCTTGCGGCTCAAAATGGCCACCTGAAGATCTTGACCATCCTCATTCAAAGGGGCGCTCTCATTGTCCGGTAAATGACCGACTGCTTAGTGCCGTTCCGCGTCGTTCAACCCTTACAGTTACATCAGTTTTCTTTCCCAACAGTGCTACTGTACTTGTATTTAGGCAGCATGCATGTCTGGGTTCTTTTCACTAGGACTAAACACTTTTAATAAAGTAGAAGTTATCACTACAAAGACAACACTAGCTTAAGCCTCCCAGCCGTATAACGCCACACCCCCCCCCCTCTTCCTGTTTCCCTCCGCAGGGACAATAAAGACAACACCCCCCTCCACCGGTAAAAAAAAAAAATCTCCCCCTTTCCCCCCCCCCCCCCCCCGCCTTTCCAATGGCCAAACACTGGGCAAATATTATAAGGTTAAACATACCCATACGGTTTACATACGTTTTTTTCAGTTACTTTTATATTAAAATAGGCATACACCGTAGAATGGGCACGAAGAAACATCTGAAAATGAACATTGTCAAACATAGTAAAATGAACATGGACAGACGTCGTAAAATTACTTTTGCCAGACATCTCAAAAAAGCAACACTGTCTGACACTTTCAATTAAACCTTGACAGACGTCGTAAAATTTATGATGACGGCAATTTCAAGATTAAAATTAAAATAGAAAGAAATCATAAAACGAACATTTGGTTTCTAACAATTGTTGTGTTTTTTTTACCCAGTATTTTGACAACATGAAGGAAAGAACTAACGAAAAGGATTGCCATGGTAACACCCCACTTCACCTGGCCGCCAAGGAAGGCTACGTGCCGGCGGTAGAGAGGATGCTGAAGCTGGGGGCGTCCCCAACCATCAAAGACAAGAACAGGCAGACCGCCTTCCACCTTGCCGCCAGGTGAGGGCGATCATTTTTTGACACCGTCTCGGATATCAGATGCGGTTGTGGGGCGACGAAAGGGTCACGTGGTTGATATAATGCCCAATGCTCTGATATTTTTTTTTTAAAGGGAATGCGGGCATTAAAAGAAATCCAAAAAATCTCCTCTATAATGTGTGTGCGAAAAATGTAAGTTTAATTTATTTAATTTTCAGTATGGATCGGAGCTGGTGACGTCACTGATTCTTAAAGTAGATTAACGTAATGGTAACTTTTTTTTTTCTAAATTTTCTAAATAGAGTTGAACAGCCACACTTGAGATGTACTCAGTGTTTGGGTTGCAACACTTGAGATGTACTCAGTGTTTGGGTTGCCTCGCTTGGGATGTACTCAGTGTTTGGGTTGCCACACTTGAGATGTACTCAGTGTTTGGGTTGCCACGCTTGGGATGTACTCAGTGTTTGGGTTGCCACGCTTGGGATGTACTCAGTATTTGGATTGCCACACTTGGGATGTACTCAGTGTTTGGGTTGCCACGCTTGGGATGGACTCAGTGTTTGGGTTGCCACGCTTGGTGTGTACTCAGCGTTTGGGTTGCCACGCTTGTGATGTACTCAGTGTTTGGATTTAACCCCCCCCCCCCCGTTTCGCATCAGTGTTTGGGTTGCCACGCTTGGGATGTACTCAGTGTTTGGGTTGCCACGCTTGGGATGTACTCAGTGTTTGGGTTGCCA